TATTAGTAGTAGTAGTAATAATAATAATAATAATAATAGCTGCATTATGTCGATATCTAACAAGTAAATCCCAAAATCTCTGTGATTTTGTGTGTTTCTTCATATTTCACAACAAACGTCCCGTTCTTAAGCTTCTGCTTTCTCATATAATGAACTAAGCAGATGCGAAAGTAGCATTATCTGAATGGGGATAGTGCAAACAGCCTCTCTTGCCATCATCATCGTCCTCTTTTTAATGATATAACATCTGTACAACGCTTTCTTCTTCTTTTTTTAATGCAGAACCAGAAAGGGAATACAAGCACAAAAGCAAAGAAAGCTGAATTGGGTTAACAAAAGACGGCTAAATTGAAAAATCTGATCTTGATAAAATTAGTACATATCTGTGAAAATGGGAGACCTAATAACGGAATTAATGAAGTATTAATTATGGACTGAGTCCATTGTTGTATTTTTGTTCCGTCCTTGTGACTCCTCCGTCAAATGATGGTAAATGTTGACAAATCATATTTTTGAGAAGCTGGTGACTTAGTTACTATCTGCATAACATGATGGATAGTTTATAAGCGTGCCATATGGTTCAACAGCTTAGATCAAAACAGTAACAGGCTGCAATTCTAATGTTGGCAATAGAAAGTAAATTTCAACTTAGGTGTGCAGCTTCACAAAAAGACTTCACTGCAAAACCTAATTAGAAATAAATACAAATTCTCCCTATCCAGACATGTGTAGGGATTCATGGTGTTGTCTTGTACACATGGTCGATGCCTGTGCACAAACGCCCCCTGTTGCTGGTTGGCTGGAATAATGTGAGGGTTGGTCCCAGTCACTGTGTGTTTTCTTTTTCCATTTACAGAAGCTGAGCTGTCTATGACTACTGTGTATGACTGGGTATTTTTTTCAGTGCACACAGAGGAGACAGTTAGCAGACTGTAAGGATTTTTTTTTCTTGCTGGATTTGACAAAAAGTGAATTGAATAAGAAAGGCTTACTACACCTTTAATGACTTTTTCCACATTCATGCTTCAAAAATAATTATAGAGCAAAGTAGAAATGTAACTCTGTAAAGATCCATTCTGACAGCAGTGGTTTTCACTTTCAAGAGACAGAGAGAAACAGGCTACCTGGGAGAGATACAGGGAGTGAAAAAGGAAGCACGGACTACAAGAGTGACAAGACACAATGTTAGTGTAACCAGTTGGGTTTGGGGTTGTGTGCGTTGTGTCGTGAAGGAAAGATTCCAATCAGGATATCTTTGGAGGCAGTTTATTCTGCCAAAGAGGTAAATAACAGAATGCTCTGATCATAACAGCCACAGACTTGTGCCCTTGTCAAATGGAATACAACAGTAAAAAAAAAAAAGGAGCCTAACAAAGAGGTAAAAACCAGAACCCTCTGCTTAATTACAAGTCACCAACTTGTGCTCCTACACAAATACAAATTCACAGGAATGTGTTTGCATGCTGTACGTTTAAGCTAACAAACTGTCATGTGATTTGTCTGACAGGTTAAACATGGAAATTCCTGTGACCACAATGCTGCTCACTTCTCCAGTGCAATACAAAAGTAAAAAGGGAAGAGGTGAAAGCAGGTGACAGCTTTGCGGGCGTAGGAGTACAGACTCTCAGGTGTTCCGCATATTGACTCTGGAAGTCTGACATGTTAGACTCTGACTTTTTAGATGTATTATAACATCTTGCTGGTTTTTAACAGACGATATCACATCTCCCCGGTTCTGGCTTCTCATCACTAGCTCCCTGTCCGTTTTAAAATTGATTTCAAGATTTTACTGATCACTTTTAAAGCTCGCCAGGGCCTTGCACCTGGCTATATTTTAGACATGTTAAGCCCGTACCTCTGTAAGTACAGCCTTAGATCCTCGGGTGGGTCCCTCCTGATTGTTCCAAAGTTGAGGCTTAAATCCAAGGGTGACCGGGCCTTCTCTGTCAGGGCCCCTTTGGAACAACCTGCCTAAATAAGGCTCGCTGAATCAGTAACTTCTTATCACTTCCTAAAACCGACTTTTATAGACTGACCTTCAAGTAAAATTGTCTTTTATTTCTCTTTTATCACTCTCTGCTCTTTTATCCATTCTGAAATTTGTACTGCTTGTAGTTACTCTTTCTAACCTCCTGATCTTAATCTATTTCTATCTTTGATTTTCTCTTCAGCTTCTCTCTTAACCCCCTTGTGTAATGTCATCCTTTTACCAGTTTTTAAACTAGCTATCCATTCTGTACATTGTCATTTTTTTTACAGTGTGTATTTACGTGTTTGCATGCACTTTGTAGTTATTATTTTGCCTACCTGCTATTTTACCTGCATTTTATGTTTTACCTGTCAAAGCACTTTGTGAATTGTTGTTCTTAAAGGTGCTATGCAAATAAAGTTATCATTATAATTATTATTGTTTGGTGTAATTATAACACTACATGTGCTCATGTACATTTTTTTAAACATATTGCTGCTATATAATTCACTTTTTTACATAAGTAACATGCCTGATTGACTACCTGAATTTCTGTGTAGATGTAGTCTCTCCTGCTAAGACTGTTCGTTGTTGCCTGAACAACAAACCCTGGGTGACGCAGGAGGTCAAAGCTGTACTTAACAGAAAGAAGATGGCCTTCAGGAACAAAGACAGGGCGGCAATCAGATCAGCACAGAGGGAGGTGAAACTGTGCCTGGAGGAGGCCAAAGACACCTATAGGAGGAAGGTGGGGCAGCAACTGAGGGACAACAACATGAGGGAGGTCTGGCAGGGTGTGAATACCATCACGGGCTTCAGAACAAAAGCCAGAACAGCAGGGGGGACAGTGGAGGAGGCAAACAATCTGAATGCCTTCTTAAACCGGTTTGACCAGCCCATGATGCCCCCCACCTTCACCCTCCCTGCAGTCCCCCTTCCCCCCTCCCTCTGTGTGCCTCCCTCTCAACATCAGCTCGGCCCCTCCATGCATAACAACTGACCAGGTCAAGGGACAACTGAGGACGATCCGGCACAGGAAGGCAGCAGGACCAGACTAGGTGTGTCCATGGATGGACATCATGGGGTGTATCAAGGATGACAGAGAGAGTGAGTACAGGAGTCTGGTGGACAACTTTGTTGTCTGGGGCAGACAAAACCACCTGCACCTCAATGCCTGAAAGACAAAGGAACTGGTCATAGACTTCAGGAAATCTCAATCATGCCCACGACCAGTTTTGATTGAGGCACATGAGGTAGAACTTGTAGTGAACTACAAGTACCTTGGGTTGTGGCTGGACAACACTTGGACTGGACATGCAACACAGACTACCTGTACAAGAGGGGACAGAGCAGGCTGTGCTTCCTGAGGAGGCTCTGGTCATTCAGCATCTGCAGGAAACTCCTGCAGATGTTCTACCAGTCGGTGGTTGCCAGCGTCCTTTTCTATGCCGTGGTGTGCTGGGGCAGCAGCACATCAAAAAGGAACTCAACCAGATTGGACAAAACAATCAGGCGTGCCAGCTCTGCAGTGGGCATGAAACTGGACTCCCTGGTGACAGTGGCAGAGAGGAGGACACTGAACAAACTGCTGGTCATTATGGACGATGTCAGCTACCCTCTGCACACTGTCATCATTGCCCAGAGGAGCCAGTTCAGCGGTAGGCTGCTCCTCCCCAGGTGCAAAGCCAACAGGAACAAAAACTACTTTGTCCCCCGAGCCATCAAACTGCTCAACTCTTCATCGTGCTCTACCATTAGATTATGTGCAATATTTTGTCACTGTTACCTGTTCCCGTTTCGATTATTATTATTATTATTATTA